AATATTATTTCAGGCTATATTTAGCCACTGCATTTCACTTTTGGACTCTCATGTAAGAGCACTGTAAGCTCCCCACAGGAAGTAACAACAAAATACAAAAAGAAAACAGATTGAAAAGCGAGGAAATTTCTGCAGTCACTACTTATTCTGTTTATCAAATTCAAAAGTTAACAAATACCAGTATATTTTAAATGATGGCACTAAATTAATATATGCCCTTACTAAATTAAAGACATCTAGGCTGACATATTGGAGTATTTTACAAGCTTTTTTTCATTTCATCAACAATTCCCAACAACATCATTGAAAAGAGAGGAAGACGAGCAATAAAATTCAGTTATGACAATGGCAAAAAAAAAGTAAACACAAGGAGGGCAGCTTACACTACATAAAGCTGACTTTAAAATTAAGTGCATCAACTCTGAAAAAGATGACTTGGGTAGTAGCCAGCATGCAGTATTATAATTTTTAAAGGCCCTAAGACACTATCATGAAAGAAACTGTTATTTTGCTATGCTATATAGCAACGGCATGTTCTCATCTGGGAATGGTGTTGTTATGGCTATTTCTACTCAAAAAGCACAGGAAAAAAAAAAAGTAGCAGCTCAGAAATGATCTACAAAGATGAATAAAAATACAAAAAAAAACCTCTTATAAAGACCACAAACACAGATAAACTTTGGGGAGGGGAAAAAAAGAGATAAAAGTATATAAAACAACAATTTGAATAAGGTAAATAGAATTTCTATTCATTTTGTTAAAGTATAAAAATACTGGATAATTCAAKTAATCAAACACAGCAATTCCAGAATCAATATATAATTTTTGAACGCTTTGTGGAACAGTCTTATAGCATCTTTGAGTTTCACAGTTTGCCTGTTTGGAAAAAGAGATTGAACTTTTCTATGGATAACATTATATACCTATGTATATGCAGCTGCAAATAATAACACATTCTCAATTTTTTCAAAAGGGGATTATTCAGGATTATATATGTCCTCCTGAGGACAGGGAGGACAGGGAACAAGCTGTTCTATTGTCTACTATTGCTAAATGTTTTGAAACACTACATAAATAGGTTAGATAGATACCAGACAAGGCGAATTACAAAACGGATTCAGTTTAGAGGAGGAGGGAAAAAAAAATTTAAAGAAAGCCCATCAGAGTGGCCAGAGATGGTAAAACATTCGACCAAGGCATTTTCTCTGTCTCAGCTAASGAAAACACATATTATTGCATCGCATTTATCACAGAGTATCTATCAGTACATTATTTTGTAGCATTAGGTATCCAAGTATCTTAAAGAAAACATAAATGTTATTTATTTGTCCAATAAAAAAATAAAATTCTGCTAAGTTCCAACTCAATTTTTCACACTGAATGATTCAAAGAACTTAAAAAGTTCTGTGCATTCAACATTACTGACATGAAGGATCCAACAATTGCATAAAATATTTCTGTCTGCAATCCACACCTGACAAAGGAAAATAGTCATCAGTATAACCAACTATCATAAGTATTCCTGGGAACTTAGACATGCAGAGACAGCAAGAATACTGTTGCTAATATGACTGATAAGTTTACAAGAACAACATTAATTCTTCTCAGAAGAATATGAAGTCACCAAATTATGCAGATTTCCAGGTGGTGCTTTTCAAATAATATTTCGTGAATGTGCAGTCAGTCATAAGCAAGATAGTAAAGTCTGAGTACATGTGCATGGTGCTGCTCTGTAGGGTTTTCATTTTGTTTGGAGTGTAAAAGAGGAATATTAATGAACACATATACTGTTCAAAGAGATTTCACCCTTTTCTCTTATCCTACATTCTTGAAGATAAATCTGCAGTGTACAGTGGCAAGATGACACAGGTCAACAAATAACTGAAGGAACCACACACAGATTCTAAAAATTAGGGGGTTGGCCTGTGATTTCTGTTACAATAAGTCACAAACAATACAAGGCCCAAGGGACCCCAGGAAGTCTGAGTRCTAGGACCTCTGCAGTCATAAGGTTTGAACATAGTAAAGACAGGAGGACAAAAGAGACATTCTCCAGGACAAATCTATCCTAAAACTGTGGGGTTTCCTAATTAATCCTGATTTTATGCTATTATCTTAAAGGACATCCCTTCTTATATACTGTTCCTCAGTTATTTCTCACATGGAATATGGAGGCATATTGATTATTGTGGAAAAACAATCACGAACAATAAGAACATCTGTCATCTAGCAACTGCCCTGAAAGCGATTTAAATTTTTAAAGCCTGAGGTATTTTAATTCAAACATTAATACCAGGGTCAAAAATATTATCTTTCTAACACAATAAGGCTGGCAGTCTGCTCTCATAGACAAAACAGTATGATCCATAGTCACAAAATGCTAAATATGACTTTAATATATGCAATCAAGAATTTATTATCATAAATATTCAAGGCAATGTCAGGTAACAAYGAATAAGGGTATAACTTTACAATATTAACTAGAATATTTCATTGCTTGTGATATATTGAAGAAATCAATATATTCATGCTGGTTCAGGTATTAAACTGAGAGGATATAAAGCTGCCAAGAAATACAAACATACAAACATTCTTTTAACCAAAATCTAACCAAAAACATGAAGTAATACGCCTCCACAATAAACAGATGAGTAGAGATTGAACTTCCCCAAAAAAATTATCTTGGAACAAAGGAGAAGCAATGTACCAACCAAAGTATAATTCTAGCCATCTCAGTTTTCATTCACAATTTTGGCRATTGTTCTATATCCACTCTAGAAGTTATTGAGAATGAATGCTTGGTACTATACAGTGGCCTCTAAGGTTATTATTGAGTCACTGCATACAGTTACAAAATTTATTTCAAATCATTTCCATCCATTCCTTCAAAGAGTGCTACAAAAGACTTGGTAATATATTTTAGGATTCCTCCTTGCGTTATTTTTCCCGCCCAGTGCTTCAGATAGGATTATCATATGCATTTATTTAGAAGGTCAGAAACTAATTTGCTTCATATGAAGCAACTTCTTAGAAATGTAATACAATCTTACTAATAAAATTCCACTAGCAGAAGTTCAAATTTGTAAGAAACCTTGTACTTGCAGCAAAAGGTTTTCAGCAAGCCGCAAAGCTCAACCTCGCTGCCCTACCATCAGCCAACTTCTCTGGTTAAACTAATTGAGCTGGCCGAGAGAACGGCCTTGCATTCAAGGCCATTACCGAGAGCCTCAACTATGTTTTCATACCGGTTTCTATCACTCTCTGCCATTCTCTGATAAACAAATCGAAAAGAAACAAAAACAAATTGGAACTGAATCAAACCCATTTTGTTTTTTTCCTAAGAATTGCCTCAAACAGGTGTTAATCCCAGCACAATCTGGGGAATAACTAGAAACATTTTCACATTCAAACTACTATTGATATCTTCCACAACTTAAGAGATCTTTCACTTAATTCAAGTTATAACATCACTTTATTATACTTACRCTTTTCTGTTTGAGCAATTCTTTGTTTTAGGAGCAGTTAAGGGCTCATAAAGACAGGCAACACTAAGTAGATTTAATGTAAAAGTAAATAAGAGTAATGTAAAGGACAGCAAGGATCATGCAATACCGGGTAGTCTAATTACTTTCATGAAAATAGTAAGCTTAGCTTTCCACTAAAATTACATTACAATGAATCCTACATACTTTATTGAAGATTGACATACCTAGCATTATTTCTTTTAAGTAATCAAACTTATCTAGGGTGTTTGCTCAGGCACTGACAACATAAAAAGGTGTTATGAGGGCACACACATAGTAACATCTTACTTACTCATTAACTCTTCTGTCCTGGCAGATGAATATTCCTAAATTCATTGGCCTGTTGAATTCATAATCGCAGACAACTAGAAGCAGAAAGTTTTTGTATCAGCATGACAGAGCACTCATACTTTTGCTCTTACTGCTCTTACCTGGGATCACCAAAAATATTTGGGGACCAGAAAAGGAGCAATAATTAAACCACTTCCTAACCCAGCATCTAATACCCCCTAAAAAAAAAAAAAAAAAACTATTGACTTACCAACTTGGAGCAATTCAAGACAAGTTGGCCTGATCAGTCTACCTTGACCTTGACTCACTTATAAAGTTGTACAAGGGGAAATGGACTCTCTCTGAAACAATGCCACTAAGCGCACAATTCACCTTTTTTCCCCTCATTTGAAACCATGAGGGGAAGCTTTAGCAAACCCTATTTACAAAAGCATACTAGCAAAATGTCTCTGTCAGAATATTTTATTCATAAAGCAGTACTCACTTGTGATGCTTGACTCACCGCATAATGTTTAAAATATATGTATTGACAAAAAGTACACAATAACAGTTTATTATCATAATCTAGGCAACAACTTAACACACAGAATTCCACATTGAGGAGCCACATTTATCTCAGTACATGCAGCCACTTTGTATGTATAGATATGTAAAACATATGCAGAATTATATGCATGGTAAGATGCACAGTGTAACGTTAACAGTCTTAAAGACATGTTCAAGCAGCACAGCACGTTGCAAGGGTGAACATAAAAWAGCGTTGCCCTGAGCATTATCCTGTGACGCTGGAGACAAGCCGCACCCTGGCCCCGAGCCATGGCTGGGAGGCCACCAGGCGGCCCAGCGCGGTTCCCGGAGGACTAACGGTGCCGCAGCACCTGCTTGGTCCAAGACACCGGTAGATGGGGCTGCGGAGGAACAGGGCACCAGCCCGGGCGCTGCGTTCGGCCCGCGACGCCCCAGGCAGAGC